CGCTGATCCGTCGCAGATCCGTCGCTGAAAGTTTCCATCGCAAATCCGTCGCTGATATCCGTCACTGATCCGTCGCTGATAGCATTACCTAGGACTGTTTGACCGACGGAGTATCAGCAACGGATCAGCGACGGATTGTCCTTTCAGCGACGGATTTGCGAGGGATTTTTTACTCGCTGATATTCTGCAATTTTGTAGTGTTGCAAACATTATTCTATCCATTAAGGGAGAGGAAAGATAATATATAAGGGTGGAAGCTCACAGTTTCTCTCAAGTAACACTAGTATGTTTAGGGAAATGTACACGCTCAACGTCTCCCCAATCGAGAAATATGAAATACATTCTTGATGTGATTGAAACAATTCTCAAGTCTAAGATTTTTTATAAAATTGCAGAAATTGAGGATTTTCGGGTAAGGTTAAAGGTTAAGGTAAGGGATGGGTTTGGTTATTGGGCTTCAAGATTTATTTGGTTTCAAGTAATTGTTTTTACGCAACAAATAGTTCCTTCTTATAAAAAATCTCGACATATCTCTTGCAAAACCAACTATATAAATGAATATGCATTTTTTCATACATCTTTCTTTTTGACTTTTTTTTTTATTTCTGATCTTTTTATATTGTTTTACGAACCCACAAGCTATACTTGTCTATGGATTTCTACCAACCCACAAACTATACTTGTGTATGCTACTCAAACTACATGCTTCAATCCATTTTCAATTTTCAGAAATGAGAACTATATGTGCATTTTGGGTGATTTAGTTATGTATGTGGTGTTCAATAAATTGGTAAGTATTTTGGGTGAAATGGTTTCAAAAGGGGAAATTTTTTTTTTTTTTGTGATTTTGAGATCAGGGATTATTTTCATAAATAATTGCCTCTACAAAAATTATAAGCATTTTAGACTGGAAATTAATCAAAAACCTAGATATACACTTCTATAGGTGGTAAACACACAATGCTTGAATACGGGTAAGGGGAATCAAAACTCAATGCCTAGGAGCAGAGAGAAGGATGACGTATATGACAGTAGTGCATGCTGAATAATGGATGCATTCCAATGGTGGGGGATCAAATCCTATAGTTTGTCTAGTGGTGACAACTCAACTAATTAAGTACAAGAACATGATATATTCAATGATAATTTACAAAGAAAGCAACCCACAAGCTATTTTTATGTATATCAAATCATAACAATCATCTAAAATGGATTAACGTTCGGAAAGAATGTACATAATGATGAATTGTATTCTTTGTGCATGTGGAACAACTCTCATGCTCAAAGTGTGGAAGCTTCTTAAAACTTAAAGCTCTTGAAAGCACATTAGAAGATCCTACAAGAACATGGAATAGGGAACAGAAGCAATCCTATCAACAAAAGGGAAAAAAACAAAGGAGGAAAGGCTCATTTAGCATCATCAGCTTGACGAAGAATTACATGATTGAGAAAGAATGTATGGGTCGAAAAGGATCAACTTAAATAAGTCACCAATTTGTATAGGTTGCGTAAACACACAAAAGACACACCGGATAATCGGTATGTTTTTGTTGTAGAACCTGATACGCTACCCATAACCGAGAATTAAGCAAAGGGTAGAGAACCCTTTGGACCGATGCTTTTGAACTACCACATAGTCTAACAGCTTCGCACGCTTCCTCTTCCAAGAAGTGAGATAAAAGACTGATTTTTACCAACATCTATCCATGTTATTTGATTTTTCCTATTTAACTGGTTGACAAATAAAACTTTCAAAAGGTATACTTTTAGCCTTGTATTTACTTTCAAAGGTTATACTTTTAACCTTCTATCATGTATTTGATTTTAACTATATATGGTAGTATCACATAGTTTGGAATGTTGAAAGTATACATATATGTTTATGTATATAAAACAAGTTAAAAGTACAAGTTGAAAAACACAATAATGGTAAAATCTAGAAACCCAAGAGAGTGGTGAAAGTGAATAAAATAAAAATAAGCATGCAAGTAAATTAAATTAAGAATTTTTCTATAGGATCATGCGCAAACCACCCGCATGCGGGACGCACTCCCTCGACTCTCTTGTCCTCTATACATATCCATTTTATTTTTTATTCATTCCATATATATATAGAGAGAGAAAGAGAGTTTGTTTCAAATACAACCAATTATATTTGTACAATTAGTATAACCCAATAAATTGAAATATTTATGAAAATGATGAGAGTTCATTTATTATGATTTAAATATTTATGAAAGATGAATAAAATTCATTAATTATGATCAATATTTTATAGGGAAAAGTACAATAAAAACCAATGAACTTTCTTTTTTAGAATGATTAAGTCCTTGAATTTTTTTTTGGAACAAATAAGTCCTTGGACTTTCCAAAACATGTTAAATAAGTCCTTGAACATTCCAAAATATGTTAAATAAGTCCTTGGACAATTTTTGGAACAAATAAGTCCTTGAACATTCCAAAAAATGTTAAATAAGTCATTGGACAATTTTTGGAACAAATAAGTCCTTGAACAATCCAAAACATGTTAAATAACTTTTTGAAAAAAATAAAGTGGTAAAATAGTGAAAAAAATCCGAAAAAAAACCCAATGAACATTCATATTTTGAACGATTAAGCCCCTAAATATTTTTTTCAACCAAAAAGTATTTAGATCTATAAAATTAAACAAATATAACAAAAAAGTACTTACATTTACAAAAAAAATAATTACCATTTTAACTAGTTGTACAAGTCATAAGAATGTATCCAACATATTCTATAAAAGTTCAAGAAGTTATTTAACATGTTTTGGATTGTTCAAGGAYTTATTTGTTCCAAAAATTGTCCAAGGACTTATTTAACATTTTTTGSAATGTCTAAGGACTTATTTAACATATTTTAGAATGTCCAAGGACTTATTTGTGCCAAAAAATTGTCCAAGGACTTATTTAACATGTTTTGGAAAGTTCAAGGACTTATTTGTTCCAAAAAAAAGTTCAAGGACTTAATCATTCCAAACAAGAAAGTTCATTGGTTTTTATTGTACTTTAAATTAAATGGACGGTTGATATTTGGTTGTATTGGTTGTACAAATATAAAAGGTTGTATAATAACTCACATGTATATATATCATTTTTATATTCATATATATATATATATAGTTTTTATATTCATATATATATATATATATATATATATAAAAGGAAAATCAAATGAAAATCAACATAAATGTTAAGAATGATGAGAAACAATTTCACATGTAAAACTAAACAATCTTGTTTTATATATGAAATAAGAAATATCCATGTTTTCTTATATATAAAACACATACACACTCACAAACTTACTCCTCTTCAAGAACAATAATATGTATATTGCATTTACATATCGTTAATGAATGGGATGGGGACCCCAATTCTCATCACATCCTCTGTTCCAATCTCCATCTCGTATTCGCTAGAGAATATGATCACATTCTCATCCATGTTCCTAACAGGGAATCGGGGTTTTTTTTCCTTTCATGTGAGATGATTTAAATCTGATGTGTTAAATGGTACATTCGATCCAAAATTTCCATGTTTAAATCTCACATTTTTTTAAAATTTCGTTTTTATTAAGTATCAAATATTCATATGTGAATAAAATCACAATTTCGTATGTAATTTTATGATCAAACGTTTTTGTCTCTCCATGTTTTCTATCTAGAAAAAGTAAAACAAGTCAGAAAAATGTATATAAAAAAAAAAAAAGATCAAAATACTCTTTTTAAATCTAAAAAAATATGAAATCTAATTCTTCATAAATAAATATTTAATATACATGGAACAGGCGATCACACTACCCAGGGGCGGATGCAATGGCAAAAAGGAGGGAGGAAGGGACCCTAGTCAAAAACTAAAAAAAAAAATTATAGGTTAAAATTTAGGTTTTACATGATTTACCTTTCACTTCCCCCCATTACATTTTTTTCACGGCCCCCCAAACCCCAATCGAAACCGTTACTCTAACCACAAAAATATGTTGAAATCAATCAAAAAAACCAAAAAAATTATTCGAAATCGAGAAAAACACTAAAAAATCCCTCAAAATCAACCAAAAAACTTTAAAATTTCCTCGAAAACGTTGTAATAAGGTTAAAAACACATCGGACGATTTTGCGAGTCTTGAGTCGCCTTAAAAGTGACCCCACTAAACGAAAATTCTGGATCCGCCACTGACACTACCCCGACCCGTATCCATCCCTGGTTTTTAACTTTTAAGGATTACCAATCCCCGATTCTACGGGAACTCTCCAGCCTCGTCGGACCAGATAGAACAGATTCTCCAATGGATTCAGTCCCCAATTTTACATGAAATCTCCACCTCCATCGAACCAATTACAACAAATTCTCCAATAAAACAGGTCTCATTCACATACATGTTCATAACTTTCTCTTCTAGCTATGGTTATATAAATAAAAATTGTTACCTTACAATATATTCAAATCAAATCATATATTTGCTACTTCTCCACTATTAACATTGCATCATATTTAATCGTACCGTTATGATATTTGTACTGGTAAAATTTGAATTTCATCAATTCAAATCCATTCAAGCTACAGGTAATTTTGATTACAGCTTCCATATCTTATTAAATTAAATAAAATAAATATATAAACTAGTTTAAACATTCACAGTTACAAAAAGGTCTAATAAGATCATACACGACTTTTCAATTTAATTTTTATTTTAAAAAGTATATTTCTTGAAAAATGAATTGATTTTTCTTTTTAATTTTAAGGAAAAAAATTAATTGGAGAAAAAGAATTGGCTATAAATTCTCAAAAAGGAGTCCTATTGCTTCAAAATTGGTCGCCCCATCCACCCTTCTAATTATCCCGAAAAAGAAAAAAAAAAACCTTTTACAATCTAAAAATAAAAAAATAAAATAAAATTCATACACAAAAATAGAATTAAAATGAAATGAAATGAAATAAAATAAAAAAAGAAAAGAAAGCCGAAAATAGCTGGAAAACCTACTCCTCCAAGAATTGCTTCACGATCTTTACGCTTGCTTCCACCACCTGTTTCTCCCATATTTCCGCCACCCTTCCACCGCCTGAATCCGCCGTCATCACCTCCCTGAAAGCCTCCGTTGCATCGATTCTCTTTAAATCCCACCCGGCGTCCTTCAACCGTAGGATCTTACCCACTTGTCTTTTTGCTAGCTGACACGTGTTGTCCTTGATCCTCCTCACGGCGTCATTATACACCTCCACCTGCCTCACCACATCCTCCTCGACCGTGGTGAAATACCCCTCGAACTCTGGAACTCCGATTGCCTGACCCAAACCACTCCGGTTCACCGTTAAATGTTCACCAGACCCGAAGAACTCCGCTAGCTCCTCTAACATACCCGAATCCAGCATTTCGTCGACCCGTTTGGATAGATACTGGTTTAAAACTGGTAAACAGACGTCAACCCAGATGAAACAACATTTGTATCTGAGCTCCGAGCTGACTGGGTCTGGGTCTGGTCCATTGAAGACATCCGATTGTGGGTCGAACCGTTTCGTGATGAGCGAATAGATGAAGGAGTTTGAGCCGCCGACCACAAGCGGCAACCCACGGCGGGATATAATGTCGGAGATGGTTTCCGATGCTAGTTTCCGGAAGTCGTGAGGTTTAACAACGGATTTAATCGGGTCAAACTCTCCGAGGAAATGGTGGGGCACGCCGAGCTGTTCTTGCATTGTGATCTTGTTGGTGGTAATACCGAGTCCTCGATAGACTTGCATTTTATCCGAGTTGATGATCTCCGCGTTGTTGAAGAATCGAGTGGCGAGGTCGATTGATAGACGGGATTTGCCAGCTCCGGTCGGACCCATTATGACGACGATCTTTCGTTGGCGGCGACGGGTGTTGGGTGATACGGCGGTGGTGGTGGTGGTGGTCGGTGGTTCCATATGGATTCGATGAACCCACCTGAAGGTGAAAAAGTTGAAGCGATGGTGATGGAATGATGATATTGGTGAGAATGGTGGTCTCATAAGGAATTAAGGGACATGGATATTGGCAGAGAGATAGCATTTAGCAGAAGGTACATACAGAATACATGAGAGTGGTAGGAGAGAGTGAGTATACAACTTTTTTGGGCGGGTTTGTTACATAAAATACATCCATCTCTCTTTCTCTCTCTCTCTCTCTCTCTCTATATATATATATATACACACATATACATATACATACACATACATATGTATGTGTATATATATATATATATGGTGTCTTCTTACTGGCTGGTGGACTGGTGGTTCTGTGGGGATTTGGGTTTGTCTGTTTGCTGATGGGCGTGCGTGGCACTGATGACGATGATGGTGGTGATGGTATTGGTGGTGGTGGAGGATATCAATGAAGTTTGGTTTGATTTATGGAGCCATGAAGGAGAGGATGATGATGATCATGGTCACTATTAAGAATGCATCATAAATTAAATTTGAAAAAAATAAAAATGAGTTTGAAATTGTCCAGTCGTCGGCCGCCGTGCGACGGTGGCTGAATGAAGTTGGTTATGTCGGAGAAGATAGAGAAGTTAAAGAGGGGAGGAATGTAGAGAGATATTGGTGCTATATTTTGTGGGGTTTGTTAGGATAAAATACTTAATGGAAAATCATCAAAATGACCTTTTTTTATGATATTTCATCGCTCTTTACAAACCTCTTTTAGAAATATGATATATGATACCAACATTTTTATTTTAAAAATATAATTTTTTTTAAATTTAATGTAGTATTGTATATTTTATCTTTAAAAAATTTAAAGAAAAGCTAATGGCACTCCTATTCTTTTTATAATTATTTTTT